TGTTAAGTGATTTTCAAGATTTAGAAAAAACAGTTCAATTAGATATAGTAATTTTTTGTATGTAATTTGTTAGTTTACCTTTTTTATTTGAATAAAATTTATCCTAAACGTAATATGGTTGGGATTTATTATCCGTTGATTTTATTTAAAAAATTTAGATTTGACGTTTGTTAAGATTTTGAAGATTAGCTTAATGGAAATTTAATTACAGCTTAACTACTAAAGAAAATTTGTTGAATGAGATAAGTGTTTTCAAATATGTTTCTTTAAATAATTAAAATTTGATTTGATTTTTTTTGTTAAGATACTGCATATCCTTTTATTAGTTCGCTTTATATATTTAACGAATTTCATTATCGCAAATCACTTTGCAGCAGGTAAATGTGTTTTTCTTTTTCGAGATTATAATGTAGATGTATTTTTTGTTCTTTGCCATGCTTTATTTTTTTCTGTATTTCTTTTTCTTGAACCGCATTGTGTCGAGTAAATAATTGATATTGATTCTGGAATTTAATTTGTTTTTAAATGTGATCTTTGCAGAAACACTCGATGGATTTGCAGTATATTTGCATAGTTCCAAAAATTATTGATCAAAATGGTTTGGTAATTTTTTCGATTGAACGATATTTTTGTTGTCAATGTTGGTGTATCCCACCTACATCGCAAAGCAGGCAGCTCCATCAATCCCTGGGAAGCAATGAGGCCAAGGGTTAAAGCAAGCCCGCAAAAGAGGTAAGGGACATGTGAATTCCAGTGGTTAAATCCGATTTAGTTTGGAACAACGGCGGCGGGCTGACTGGTGGAGTTGTTTTTGACTTCAATTCCATTTAATAAATAGGCCGCCTATTTCCTGACAAAGCCTACAATGCTACAAATAGTTCCCTAACGGAATCCATTGCAAGTTAGCAATATTGATTTTGAGGAGCAATTTTTCTCCTATTTTTGCATCTAATTTTATTGAAATGCAGACAGAGGTTAGGGAACTACTTCAAGAACCTTCGATGGTTTGAGTTGTGCCTTGGTCATAAGCTTTCAAACCATGTAATTTTGTATTATGTGACAGGTTGATCGCAAGTCTTCATACGGCTAGTACACAGGGATATCTAATCCCATGCATAGAACGTTTTCTTTTTCTTTCTAATTTTAACCAAGTTTCAGGAGTTCATCGGGAGAAAAGAATGAAGATTATCTTTTGATGAATCACAAAGAACACTAATTCGATATTCTTTCACTCCTTTCTTTATAGATACTATCACTTCTTCTTCTTCCTTTTTTTTTTTTCATTGGGCTAATCGATCTAGGTTATGTTATTAGGACAGTCATTTGGGCTATGGAATGAAATTGTACCAATGCAACTTTGTTTTTTGTGTTGCAGTTTGGAAACTTTGGAATTTTCGTAACAATCTGATTTCTTTTTCCTGACAGAAAGACATAATTAATGAGATCAACAATTGCCACTGAATCTAACCAAGGTGAAGTTCCAAAGTGAGTTCATTTTTGTTTCTTTTTTTTCCCGCTTTTTGGCTGTCAATTATGGTTATGTGTTATGTAATTACGGATATTGATAATTACTTGATCATTGTTTCTTTTTTCTTTTTATTTTTAAAATTTTTTGGGGGTATCTGATGACACGAAAATATATACCCTTTTTGCAGGCATTTCTTACTCATTTTACTCATAATTTAGCGTCAACTAGTTAGGATTAGTTTACTTTTGGGGTGATTTTGCAGTTCAGGTAACTCAGAGGGTCAATGTTGAATATCAGCATAAATTGGGGCCAAAATGTGCGAAAGAGCTTCAAAAAGGACCAATTCTGGAGATGCTGGAAATGGAGGCTGGAAAGGAACAATTGTGGAAGAGAAGAAGCTAAAACCATACTGCTGAAAGAAGGTTGATGATCCATCATCACAAGTTGCTCTGCTCAAATTATAATTGAAGCAAAATTTATGGGCTAAAATGAATAAGAAGAGCAAGATTTTGGAAGATTGCTATCACTTGGGCATGTCACTTGCCAGAGTGGTGACTGCTGCTACTATTGCTGATGGCCCGCAACCCAAGAAGGAGCCGCACAAGTGTGAGACTCAAGAATCAAATTTTGGAAACTTGGAGGTGAAGCAAGAAGGCTAATTTTATTATTGTTAATCTTGTGGCTGAAAAGGAGGACAACAAGAAGATGGAGACAACTTGACAACTTGTTCAAAGCAAGTTGCTCAGGGCCAGGTTGATCAAGTGACCAAGTTGCTTTACTTGCTTGTCAAGTAGACAACCTACAAAGTTGGTCGTTTTGTGGAGATTAAAATAGTAAAAAGTATCCTCCTCCAAGTCCAATAAATAGACCCAATCAGCTACAAGAAGAATATCCAATTAGAGTAGGAAGAGAGTTAGATATAAACACAAAATGAGTGCTTAGAAACAGCTAGGAGTGGCACGTTCTACCTGCCATTCTGGAGAGAGAGAAGACTCACTCGAGGTAGTGACCAGGTGACAGCAGCAAATTCCTTAATTTCTTCTCTCCTTCTCTTAGTTGTTTCCTTGTTTTGTATTGATGTTTGATGCTTAGAAATGCATCCTTGTGTACTTGTATCAGTAGTTATGTGTAGCTAAACTCTTTCTAAGGTTCAATCCCTACTATCTTTATGTGAAGGTTTTGATTCAGTTTTCTTGATGAGGTGTTGTGCCTAGATAAGTGATTTAATTAACCTTTTAGTTAACTTGATCAATTAATTAAAAGTACCTGCATGGTTATGAAGATCTGGAAGGGGGGGCATAACCTTAGAACCGCTTAATCTAGTATATGACAAAGGAGGAAATCCACCCCTTTGGTTTCATACACCAACGGGAGTTAGGTGATGGCATAGGCGATCAATAAGGGTTTAAGAACTTCATGGCTTGGATTAAATAAGACTCTGACTGGGTTGATAATCTAGGACTCTTTATTCTATCTGGAAGGAATTATAAAGATACATAGGTGCCTGATCGAACAACTAATCGTACACTACAGGAATATTGAATCAAAACTGGATCATAAAGGTAGAAAAGTGATTGACCCTTCTGTCTCTTCACTCTGTCAAGTGACTATTCTCATTCTCCCAAGTGACAATCTGTTCAACTAGTTCTTTTCTTTTCTGCATTTTAATCAGATTTTGAGCGATTGGCTGCTGTCCCTATGGAACGACCCTGCTTACCGCTAGCTAATATTTTTAAGTAGGTTTATAAATTATTCTTTTAGGAAGTGATTCCAACGACAATCATCACAAAAATCGTTCTCACCAAAAGTGGCGCCATTGCCGGGGATGGCGTTAAAAATCCTTAAATATGATGTATATCAAAGCTGAGAGCTAACATCAACAAATCAAAAGTTGATGTATGTGAAATCTATACAGGATCTCACTCCAGCTCTGCCTTTCAAGCTACTGTGGAAGAATTTCAGTTCGTGAGGCAAGGAGATAATAGAGGAGGCTTCAGCAATTACAACAATTGGAGGCCACAGCAAAACAACAACTGGATTAATCAGCAGTCAAATTACCAGAGATCAGCTCAACCACCTGGATTTCAAAATCAACCATTCAGAGTCAAGAAGTAAGACTGGATCAAGGTTGGTAATGCTTTTGCTAGTCTTGAAGCAACTATGAAAGATATGCAAAATCAGGTTGCACAGATGGCGAGGATTCTAGACAGACCTGCTGGCACTCTTCCTAGTGATACACTGGAGAATCCCAAGAGGAGGGAAGCACACAACACAGATTAGAAGGTTGAGATGCAGCACAAGGGGGTGTTACACCTGAAGGAATCCAAGTAAGAGTCACCAATTAGTCTGGCATGAGACGTTAAACCAGTGCGTTGCTTGGGAGGCAACCCAAGGTAAGTTATTTTGTTCTTCTTAGTTTTGTTTCAATTATCTTTTACTAATTAATCAATATGTTTAAGTGGTAACAGAAAGGGTGAAATGACCCTTATCGGAAATTTTCAGGTGAAGACTATGTGGATGGTTAACCTGAAATGCCTTGTAGACTATGATATAGTTAAAATGCCAACATTTCAGTTTGATTATATACAAAGCAATGAAAATTGATCTGTCGTCTCAGCTGAGCGAGTGATAGACTCACTTTCACGATTAGGATGACTTGTCAAAGTAAAATTGCAGATAAAAAGTCACCAAGTGTTCCGGTCAAAGGGAAGCAGGAAGGAGGGAAGATTGATTAAAAAATAGCAGGCGAAGATGAGGGTAAAACTGTCTAGAGTTGTGCCTGGGAAACTAGAACATTATAACTCGAAAACTAACACCCCATTCTTCCATAAATACCCTATTCAATAGAGTATAACCTTCTCCAACCTTCCGTCTCTTTCTAACAGCCACCATCACCAAAACCCTATAGCCAAAGGCACTTCTATCCTTCAACAATATCACATAACAATGGTGACAGAACGGCAATCCGCAGAATACAGAGATGCACGAAGATGGAGGCACACACCATGAAGAATCCGCCAAAGTCAGATCCGAAGAACAAACTCAATACAGGGTTCTGAGGAAGTTGAATCTGCACCACGACACTAGGAACGACGGATGATCATGGAAAGGGCGGCATCCTTCCCAACGGATTTGTCGTCATACATTGTTGAACATCACTGGGAGAGACTCTGTGATGTCCCTCAAAGACCAAACCTCACTGCGGTCAGGAATTCTATCACAGTATAAGAGAAGCACTAGGCGACACTGTGACGGTGAGGGGCAGAGCAGTCAATATCAGTGAGGCGGCATTAAGAGAATTGCTGCAATTACCAGAAATAGGTTTCTCCCATGAAGAAACACTTCATCAGATGATGGATTTTGACCATGAGGAACTCTCAGGGATGCTGAGTCAGGAACTGGATGTCATCTGGACATTCAAGAACGGCAGTCTGGGATACTTCTCAGCCTCAGCTTTAAGACCAGAGTATAAGCGCTGGTTCAACTTCATCTGCACCAACCTCATACCTAGCCGACGCAGGAAGAAGGTAACCTATGAAGCAGCACTATTCCTCTTTGCAATACTCACCAACACACCGGTCGATGCGGCTGCAGTGATCAGGGAGCAGATAGGCTCCTGCGCTTCCAACCCCAGGAGGAAGTCCTGGTTCTTTCCGGTCCTTATTACTAGCCTCATGGAGTGAGCCAATGTGCAATTTATGCTCACAAATGTCACGAAGGAACTCAAACGGCCATGGCATCTAGAGAACCCACCATACCCCTCTTTGAGGGGATAAAACTGCAATCACCCAAGAGAGTCTTTAGTTTTAGTTTTTCCTTTTTTTTTTCCTTTTCTTTTATCTTCTGTTTCTTTTTAATTAGGTCTAATTTTGTGATTTTCTGTTTTGAGTCAATGAATTTAGAGTTCTTAGGTTAGATTGAGTCAACTTTGTATGATGATTTTTCTATTTTACAGATGAATTGCATGCTTAGTATATGTGTTTGTTCTTCCCCTGCATCTCCGTTGTAATCATTGAGGACAATACTTATTTTAAGTTTTGGGGAGGGGATTTGTGTGTTTTCATTTGTTTTAAGTGTGACAGTAATCAAATTTTGGAAAATTTTGAAAAATTTTCAAAGATTGTGTGCAACTGTGAATTAGTTGATGTATATACAGTGTTGAAAGTCTATGATGATTCAAAAATGTGCGGAAAATTTTGAAATTTTGAACACTTATTGAATCACTTGCAGTCAGTACTACAATTCTTCACTTTCTCGAGCACAATATATCACTCGCCAAAGTGACAGTTCAGTATTCTACTTCCATTTTACCATTTCCACTATCTCTTTTCTTCAATCGTTTGGGTTATTTAGAGTCACTGCCGTCCCTGTGGATTCGACCCGACTTACTGCTATCTACAGTATTAAGTTGGTAATTTCTTTGGTGGATTTGACACCCATCAAAAGTAGGAGTTTGTGTGTTTGCATTTAGTATTTTTTTTCATGAAAAGGTAAATTTTATACAAGAACACCAAAAAGCAGTGAAGCTCATTACAAAGTTGACTTCCTAACTATTAAAAATTTCTGAGGTTATTCATGACCTCTCCAACATACTCTAACTCAGCAAAGCTTACTGCTAGTAACAGCCTTGGTCAAACTCAAAAACTTGGTTCAAAATTAGACTTTTAGCAGGTTTAACACCTCTTTTCATATTGACCCCAAACCTACTTCTGAGATCCATCTGCAAGCCCCTAAACACTAGTTCAGGAGTTCTTTCTACCCCTTCAAACAATCTCCTATTCCTTTCTGTCCATAGGCAATAAATACTCCCAATGATTGCAGCCCATGGCAACCTTCTTCTTAGATTCTGCTTCTTCAACATACACAACAATTGAGTTTTCCATACCTGAATCTGTGCTGCAATTCTCCTGTACTTAAGCCAACCCCTCAGTAGATCCAACAGTGTTCTAGAGTATTGGCAATGAAAAGCCAGATGATCATAAGTTTCAGTTGTTGTTCTGCATAAACAATAGCAGGCATCTACTACAGTAATATTCATTCTTACTATTCTGTCCTTAGTAAGAATACGCTACTTATACACCAGCCATGCTATGAAAGCATGCTTTGGTATGTTATAGCAGGACTAGATTTACCTTGCATTCACATCCTTTTCCCCACCTCCAATCAGCCACTGAGAACCCGAGGATACTGAATACAAGACACTCTTCTGCAATTTCCACTTTGTCCCCTCAACTGCCGCACTAAACAGGTCACGCAACTTCAGCAACTGCTTCCATTGCCAACTGGAATCAGCTTTCAGGGAAACAGTTGCAAACTGTTCCTTCTTAATGTAGACACCATGGATCTACCTGACCCAAAGAGCTTCCTTATTCAATAGCAACTGCTAGACTTGTTTATAAACAGAGGCTTTGCTCCACAAATTGGCATCCTTCACACCCAAACCACCCATAAACTGCCCATTACGCACCTCAGTCCAGTTAACCAGGGCTAGATACCTCCTATCACTTGTTCCCCCCCAAAGAAACTCCCGACACACCTCACTTTCTAAGGTAATACAAAGATGCTACCCCAATAAGAATGCATAGTCATAAGAACAGAGTTAACTAGGGTTAATCTCCCTGCATAAGAAAGATGTCGAGAGCTCCAACACTGAACCCTAGCCACTGTGCTGTCTACGATACACTGACAATCCATCTGGTTCCATTTCCTAGGGGCCAATGAAACACCCAAATATTTCATAGGGAAAACACCTCTTAGGAAACCCATTATCTTATAGAATTCCTCTTGCTCCCTAATCCCAACACCCCCAAAGAAGATCTTAGATTTTTAAACATTTGCAGTCAGTCCAGTAGCCTCCGAAAATTCCCGGAGCACATCCATTATGATTTTCACAGTTGGAACATCTGTCTTGAAGAAGATCAAGAGATCATCCGTAAAGCAAATGTTCGTGAGCTATAATTCTTTACATAACGGGTGAAACTGAACCCCCCGAGAGCAGCATTCTTCAACCCACGTGTTAAATACTTCATAACGAGGACAAATAACAAAGGGTATATAGCATCCCCTTGTCGTAAACCCCTTCTACCCTCAAAGAATCCCATAGAACAACCATTTAATGCCAATGAAAAAGAGGGAGTAGAAATACATGACATAATCCACAATCTGGAAATCTGCAGAAATCCATACCCTAACATCATTTCCTCAATAAAATCCCACTCTACCGAATCATAAGCCTTACACAAATCTATTTTCATCAAAAGTCTACCACTTATGCCTTTCCTACCGTACAATCTGATAAGTTCTTGCATGATAAGCACATTATGCATAATCAACCTATTCTGAACAAATGCATTCTGATATTGACTAAATAATGTAACACATCCTTTAGCCTATTACAAAAAATTTTTGAGATACATTTATATAGCACGTTACAACATGCAATAGGCCTAAAATGATTGGCATTTTGAGGGGATTGTATTTTTGGAATTAATGCTAAAGTAGTAGTATTGATTTGTTTCAATACCTGGCCAGTGGCGAAGAACTCCAGCACAGCATCCGTCACAGCTTCCCTTATCACCTCCCAAGCAACTTTGTAAAAACCTGCACCAAAACCATCAGGACCTAGACTTTTGTTCAAGTCCATCTCCCATATTGCTTTTTTGACTTCTGCTCTGCTAACAGGTTATCAAGTGCAACTGTTGATCACTGCTCATAACTGGACCAGCTTTATGGATATTAGGCCTTGCTTCCTTCCTTACAGATGATCTACCAAGCACATTTTTGTAGAATTCCACAAAATGCTACTCGATATCCACCCAGTCAGTCAGCTCCACCCCTCATCATCAATCACGGACCAAATTCTATTCCTCATGTTTCAGACTTTCAGGAGCGAATGGAAGAATCTAGTATTTACATCCCCCTCCTCCATCAATTTCTCCTTAGTCTTTTGCTGCAAAAAACTATCTGCCGCTTTCCTTTTCTCCGCATAATCATAATACACCTTCCTTTCTTCTTCCTGGATAATCACATTACAAGGATCACTTGCCAAAACATTCTGAATCTCTCCCAGTTCCAGTTGCTTTTTCTGTGCTACTTCAACTATATCATTGAATTGGGTTCTGTTCAACTTTCTCAACGGTTTTTTCAGCATTCGTAATTTCATACAAACTTGAAACATTTTAACTGCATCAACCTTCTTATCCCAGATCCCCTTAACAGTATCTAAAAACTGAAAAGATTGGCTCCACATGTTCAAGAACCGAAAGGGACATTTCTTCTGTCGCTGCTTCTCACCCTCTAATTGCAGAACAAGGGGAGAATGATCAGAAATACTCCCCACCGGAACAGAGGCAACAGAATCAGCATATAAATCTACCCAGTCCCCATTCACCAGTACTCTATCAAGCTAAGAGTACACTCTCTGCTCCAATTCTCTGGTTACACCATGTGTATAAACTTCCCTTGCATCGAAGATCAGTAACCCCATAGGTGTTTAAACAGTCCTGAAACTCCTCAAAGTCTTTCAATTCTACTTGTCTGCCCCCCTAACTTCTCCCCAGGATGAAGTATGTCATTGAAGTCACCCATCCAAATCCATGGTCCCTGCACCTGTTGCGCCAATCTTACCATTTCACCCCACAGTTTATTTCTCTCACCAGCATCATTTGAGGCATACACACATGTGAGAAGAAATTGTTTCCTCTCCCTTTTCAACACGCAGTGACAGTGAATATATTGATCATGCTCACAAATCTTTGAAACCTCCACGTTGTCATCCAAAAAATTAAGATTCTACCCCTTTCATTCGATCTGTAATTATTCATCCAACGACTACCTTGCCAGAACTACTTTACATATTTCTCTCCATGGTTCTGATTTAATTTCGTTTCCACCAGCCCTATAATATTATAATTCCCACACTTAACCACTCGATGTAACTCTCTTTGTTTCGGGGGAGAGTTCAGACCCCTAATGTTCCATACAAAGATCTTACACATTGAAATCAGGTCCAGGGTCTATCAGTATGCTCTCCTCTTCCCTAATTCCAATGCTAGAGGTAGCAACGACATTTGTTTCCTTAGCAGTTTCATTAGGAGACACTATAGGAGATCTCCTGGCAACCACAACCTTTGTAACTATGACATCATTGTTCCCTCTACTTCCTTGTACTGAAACAACACCCTTCTCCCTACTTATTACAGTACCCTGCTTCTTACTCACCTCCTTATCATTCTGACCTATCAGGATTGAGCTACCCATAGTATCTCCACCCTTTGTGATCCCACCATCAACAGTCTCTCCCCTAACCTCCTTTCCCTTTACAATCTTTCTCCACTCAGAGCTAGGAGTAACCACTTTAGGTACCTCATTCTGACTCTTAATTTGACACCTTTCCGTCACATGCCCATAATTTTGACATTTCTTACATTGCGTCGGCATCCATTCAAACACTACTCTATGAACTTGAATGTTCCCGTATTCATCCTCAAATACAATTCTGTCAGGAACAGTATCAGTTATCTTCATTTCAACCAGAATCCTGGCATACTGAACTTTACTTTTGTTCACCGTATACTCATCTGCTAAGATTGGTTTACCTAAGATGCTAGCCAGATTACTGGTGCGTGCCGAATTCACCAAAAATATTACTAGCTTGGATTATGAATTTTTGTAGACAAGGTGAATGGAAACAGTCAGTCAAGGTGTAAGAAAAGATTACCAGTCAGTCAAGGTGTCACTCAGGTGACTTCACCTGAGTGACACCTTGACTGACTGGTAATCTTTTCTTACACCAAAATTCACCTGAAGCAGAAACTGGGATGGCTACTCTCCACTTGGCTTCCTTATTGAGTTGTTGTTGCTCCTCCTTCCTTCTTGCCTTCTACTTGGAATTTTTCTGTGTATTTTTGCAACTGAAAGGGTAACCAGAGATCTATCTCCCTTCTGAGAGTGAAGTTCCCCCTTTTATAGGGCCTTGCAGCCAGTTCTTTAATCATGAGAGCCTCCCATGCTTGTAATTTGTTTAATCCTCCCAATGTCTTGTGCTTGGAATCCAAACTTGGCTATTCTTCTTCTCTCCTTCCAGAAGTGGCAGCATAGCTCTCATTGATCAGCAGGGGTGGCTGAAATTTCGGCTGAGGGACAAGCATGCCTCTTGGAGGAGACATATTCATTAATGGCAAGATGCTTCTTGTCTATGGAGGTGCTTCTTCATCCAGCTCAGCAAACATTGCCTCAGTAGCCCACAAATTGTTCCCTTGGCCTCAATTTTTCAGCAATTGTGGAATCAAACCCCAACCTAATAAAAAATACGAAAACTAGTTAAGTAGAATGCACTAATAATAGGAAATACCCCCCAATTTATTACTAAATTCAGAGTTAATTGTGATGCTTTTATGTAACAAATAAACCATTATCAACTCCCCCAAACAGGAAGAATTGCTTGTCGTCAAGCAAAACAACTAAACTCTTGTTGGCACTTACAGAATTGTACATAAGAAACAGGGGAAAACAACATTGTCAAAATGACTGAAGACTGACTTACCCCCCTGAGTGAGGATTCCCACTCAGGCAGGTGACACTGAACAAAGCAACAACCTTAAACACAAACTAGATAGGTGCTGTCAACCTTTTGTCTAAGATTCAAGTGAGGAAAACATACACTTAAGGATACCAAATCTTTCTGCAATCCAGAGTCAAACAACCAACCTTCACATGGAATTAGAATATATATGCCACAAGTGTTATTTCATGCCAAACCTACCAATCCATTCTAAGTTAACTGGTTAAGCTTTTGGTGGTCATTCTAGTGATCTGGTCTTGCCCAAGTTACTTCGACTCGATTTACCTACTGAGGGTTCAATCATGGACTTCTTGCCTAGCTTTTCTGCTCTTTTTTTTTTCTTCAATTCAGGAATGTAGATGGACCAACCTAACAGGGGTGTTATTCAACCTTATCTCTCCACTGCCTTATACCTCAACCCTTATTACTCCAACAGTTTGGAACTTTTTGTGGTGGTTCCTTACTATTACCCCTAAGGTTTCAGTTGATCCATTCCCTAAAAATTTTTTTCTTTTTTTTTTTTTTTGAACAAGCAGGCTGTGAATGGATACCACAAGGGAAGTCTCAAATTTATGGCATCTCTCATCTAATTGTAGCTCAGAACTAGACACAGCTCACAACAGTAGATTAGTCATGCCAAATTTTTAAACTTTATGTTCTAGGCAGTCACTTCCCCGAGTGGCATTGTTCATGTGTGTGAGTGAGCGTCAGCCATTCTTTCCTTCATGCATCAGACTCAGTATCAAAAGTGTTTTAGCAGAATTTTTTGAAAACCATTATCATCCCAGACTGTTGACAGCTCCTTAGAAAATTTTTTTATTTTTTGAGAGATATTTTACAGACTCGATCTAGACATGAACCTAAGGGACCTAAATGACATATGACCTGACCACAACTACTCTACTACTACTTTACTACTCCCCCAAACTTATTCTAAGCATTGCCCTCAATGCTTAACAAAACAAATCCGGCAACACACATTAAATAGAAAACAAAGAAAAACACAGAACTAATGAAAATTCATCATTTTAACAAAAGAAAATAAGTTGCTGATTAAGGGCATTAGAACAACACTTCCCTGAATGTTCATTGAGGCATGCCATGGAGTGGATGGACTGGTGGATCATGTAGCATTGGGCAATTTTCAGGTCATCCAATATACTTGTGCATTTCCTGTAGGAATTTCTCCGTCCTCATTTGGCATTCATAGACATAATCCAGGATGAACCTGGTCTGCTTGTTGAAATCCCTCTGCCTCAATTGTCCAGCTAGAGTGGGAGTGGATGTTGCTTGTCCTGAGGATGAGGCACCTGGGGGTTTCTGGTCCAACTTATGCATACTCAATGGTTACTGCAATCTGCTCTCTATGTCTGTGTGTAGGAAGGTCACCCCTGCCCTCTTGCAAAGCATGGTGATCATAACTGGAAAATACCAGCTCTTCACCTTTGGATCAGTGATGCATCTGGTGAGTTGATCTCTGATGACTGAGGCTGCATCAAATGGTGTCTCCGTAACAATGGCATATAGCAGCAGAGCCATCTCATAGGTGACCTTAGCGGTGTAGGATGTTGGCATCAGATTGCAGCAGATGAAATGGTGCCACAAATTCAGATCAGGCGTCTGCAACGCGTTTGCTGGAAATCCCAGAGGGTTTTCTTGATCATCCATCTCCTAGCTTGTGCCTTCTTTTGCCAATCTAGACAGAACGGCTTATTCCAGTGGTTGATTTGGATGTAGGGCAGTAAGGGTTTCCCTGTAATCAGTGCTGACTCTTGGTAACTTCCAGATGGCCCTAATAGCTTCCGTGCTGCAATTGACGCTGATGCCTCTGACAAATACTCCGTCTCTGGAGGAAGTGTGGAAGTTGCCATAGAATTCTTGCACAATCTGGAGCCGGGGCCGGACAAGGGGCCTTGAAAACACCTCCCACCCGTAGCGTTTGATGTAGGCGTACGCTTCACCATCCTAACCTATTCCCCTTTCTGTAATGATTTTTTGTTTGATGTATTTTAGGAAGAAGTCCCAAGCCTTCTTTCTTGGGAATAGCCTGGGCTCCCACTCGTCAGTGATGGCATTGAGTGCTTGTTCTTGCAAAGCCCCTTGTGGTTGTGGAGGCGGTAGTGGAGTGGGTTCTCTGGCAGGGGATGGTGGTGGGGTGGGCGTTCTTTGCCTTTTAGAAGAGGACGAGGATGAGGAAGAGGATATCCGTCTTCTTGTATTGGAAGCATTTTTGCCCTCAGCAACCTTTCTCCTTGCCGGCGGCATTTTGTACAAACCCTAGGAATTGAATTGGCAAATTGAAAGAGGGGTTTTTGATTGAATCTGATTTTTGCCTTAGATGCCTGAGAACTCAGAGAAATTGTCAGTATGTTCACACAGGGAAGTGGTAATTGAAGAGGTGGTTCTGGAAATAAGGAGAAGATGAAGAAGACGAAGCATTGGGGGAGTTGTAAATTAATGCACAGCAGTTAAAATTTTTGGGAAGTCGTGGCTGACTCGAGTGACTCAAAAAGACGGACGCGGTTAAAATTGAAATTTGAAAATTTCTGGAAAAAATTTCCCCCTCAAACTTGAGCCATAAATACAGCATAAAAAGGTGAGATTTTGCAGAAAGTGTTGTACAGTGGTTCTTACTCAGGCGAGTGTATTGTCCCACTTGTGTGAGTGATGTCAGGGTTAGAAGCCTTATAGAATTACTTTCCCGTAGGTTCACTCGGCTGAGTGACCTTCTTCACTCCTAGGAGTGAGTTTACCTGAGGCCTTTTATGTTATACTTTCTGAAATCCGTTGGGGTGGCAAATACCTTGTCCATTCCTGAAAAATTCGAATAGCACATTGTTAGCCACACAAAAACAAAACGTATGGGTTGCCTTCCATAAAGCGCATTGGTTTTAAGTCTCATGCCAGACTTCAAAAGAGTTTTCAGTTAAGTTCCTTTAGGACCAGAACATGATAGTTCTGTCCTTTACTCCCTTCTGTCCATCCAAGGTATGGTTTAAGCCTTTGACCATTAACTAAAAAGGTGTTGCCATTCTGTGGATTCGTGATTTCTACTGCTCCTTGAGTTAGGACCTTATTGATTCTGTAGGGATCGGTCCATCTTGACTTCAACTTCCCTAGAAAGAATTTCAGTCTTGAGTTGAACAGCAGGACTTCTTGTCCTTCTTGCAGATCCTTCTTGACAATATGCTGATCATGGTAGGCCTTAGTTTTTACCTTATAAAGCCTGGAAGATTATTTCTTGGTTTTAATAGGACTTCTTACAAGCGTTGTTTCTATCTACTATTATCTAAAAATAATCAAGTTATTAATATATGCTTCTAATCTGAATTCTTCCAGCTCGTTCAATTGTATCAGTCTAAGGTCCTTCCTTCTTCTTGGATCAAGATTCAGTTCCTAGATAGCCCAATAAGCTTTATGTTCCAACTCCACTGGTAAGTGGCATGCTTTCCTAGAGACCAATTTGAACGGGGACATACCAATGGGAGTCTTGTATGCTGTTCTGTATGCCCATAAAGCTTCATCCAACTCTGAGGACCAATTCTTTCTGGTAGAGTTGACAACCTTTTCCAGGATTCTTTTCACTTCCCTGTTTGACACTTCTGCTAGCCCGTTTGATTGTGGATGGTATGGTGTTGATACTCTGTGCCTGATTCCATATTTCTTCATCATGGTGCGTGCCGAATTCACCAAAAATATTACTAGCTTGGATTATGAATTTTTGTAGACAATGGAAGCTAGGTCGATCCCACGAGGATAGCTAATTACCAAATTTTTTGTAAGAAAAGATTACCAGTCAGACAAGATGTCACTCAGGGGAACGGAAACAGTCACTCAGGGGAATGAAGCTAGGGGTGCTCATCTCCTCTTCCTACTACTGTAGTTGTTATTTAGCACTGTAATGGTTAAGTTCTTGTTCATTCAGCTCACTTATAACTCTAAGTCAGTTCCCATTTTTCCTAGAGTCATCTTTGCAACCTTAACAATCTATTTTCCAATGATTGATTCCAAATACAAAGTCATTAAGTTCTTAGGCCTTCAAGAATGCTTATGTTAACTAAGTATATTCCTATCTTAGTTAAAACCATAGACTGTTACCTCTATGTCATAAGTTAAAGTTGAAACAATCCAAACCAAGTTTATCTTTCCAGATCTCCCTTAGTTCTAGCATGCATTCAATTTAGTGATCAAGTAAATGAATGTAGAAAAAATTTCAATTTCAAAACAAGGAACAAAACCAGTGCATTAAACAACTACAACATAGGTTGAGGAGAAAAACCCCTGGAAGCTGCTTAGCTACTCATAAAGATTAATGCTACATCTACAACAAAAGACATCATAGAAGTATGCATAATAAACAAAGTTCAAGCTAACAGTCAAGAGACGAGAAAAAAGCTTGTGCAGTTTCTGAGCCACTCCTGGGAGTGAAGGGGTCCACTCATGGAACTGAAGCAGAAACTGGGATGGCTACTCTCCACTTGGCTTCCTTACTGAGTTGTCTTTGCTCCTCCTTCCTTCTTGCCTTCTAGATAGAATTTTTCTGTGTATTTTTTCAACTGAAAGGGTAACCAGAGATCTATCTCCCTTCTGAGAGTGAAGTTCAACTTTTTATAGGGCCTTACAGCCGGTTCTGAGAGCCTCCCATGCTTGTAATTTGTTTAATCCTCCCAATTTCTTGTGCCTGGAATCCAAACTTGGCTGTGCTTCTTCTCTCCTTCCAGAAGTGGCAGCATAGCTCTCATTGATCAGCAGGGGTGGTTGAAATTTCGGCTGAGGGACAAGCATGCCTCTTGGAGGAGACATATTCATTAATGGCAAGATGCTTCTTGTCCAGGGAGGTGCTTCTTCATCCAGCTCAGCAAACATTGCCTCAGCAGCTCACAAATTGTTCCCTTGGCCTCAATTTTTCAGCAATTGTGCAATCAAACCCCAACCTAATAAAAAAACACGAAAACTAGTTAAGTAGAATGCACTAATAACATGAAATACCCCCTAATTTCTTACTAAATTCAGAGTTAATTGTGATATTTTTATGTAACAAATAAACCATTATCAATTACCCAATGAATTTAAGTTCGAGTATTTTAGTTCTAATCCTGGAAACTAAACCCACGCAGGCACCTTATCAACCTCTCTATAATTCAAGCCTTGTTATACACTCTAAGGCTTCACAATTAGTGGTTTATTCCCAAAATGTCTAATGCTTACACTAAGCACCTCATCTCTAGCACCAGCAGTTTTAAATCGAATAACAAAAAGACCAGAAGGCAGTTGAATTACCTGCTGAATTCCCAAACGACCCCATACACGTTTGAAGTAGTCTTCCATTACCCATTTTGGTGGGTTTGCTCCCAGAACGAAGCACACCATTGCATGTTCCCAATACTTTTCCTCAGCTTGCACATCCACCATCTACATCTTTGCCACCAACATCCCATTGTGCTGACTAGGAGGGTTATATGTCAATTTTCCAGCCGGGGGTTTCAACTTCTCTTCTCTTGAACCATCCCATACTATTCCACTGAGACACCCATCAGATAGATGCCCAGCAACGCCCTTAGTCAAAGACCCCAAACCAGCTTCCGGCGTAATTTCTCTCCCTTGACTGTCTCCCGGCACTGACTTCCGAGTTGAAGATGCCTCTATCTCAGCGACCAATTGCTCCAATTCCACTTCTTGTTGAACCCTAATTGATTTTCCCAAATTTCTCCCCTTCCCATCTCCCCCCAAATCTGCACAATTCATCATCTCTTTCGCTCACTCAGGGCATGAATCAACGTTCGCTGATGTATTCTGTGATTTTGCCTTCTTTCTTTTGCCCACCATGACTGGCGTACAGGATCTAATCGCCGAAAAAAGGATAAGTAGCTCTCACATACAGCAACGTGTTTTTGCCCCTGTTGCACGTGTGTACAAGCTACACACAATGAAGTGTGACAGTAATCAAATTTTGGAAAAGATTGAAAAATTTTCAAAGATTGTGTGCAACTATGAATTTGTTGATGTATATACAGTGTCGAAAGTCTATGATGATTCAAAAATGTACGGGAAATTTTAAAATTTTGAACACTTGTTGAATCACTTGCAGTCAGTACTGCAGTTCTTCACTTTCTCGAGCACAATATGTCACTCATCAAAGTGACAATTCAGTATTCTACTTCCACTCTACCATTTTCACTATCTTTTTTCTTGAATCGTTTGGGTTATTTAGAGGGTTTTCCATCCCTGTGGATTACTGCTATCTATGGTATTAAGTTTGTAAATTTCTTATGTGGATTCAACTCCCATCAAAAGTGGCGACGTTGTCGGGGATGGCAATCAACTTCTTTTTAACCCTTTGGGATTCTTTTGTTTTTCTTTCTTTTTCTTTCTTTAACTCTTTGGGATTCTATTTCGTTCTTTAATTTGTGATTGAACCTGTGTACCAAACTTTGAACTGAAATGGAAAATTATTCTGCATGTCTAGGAGATTCTTGTGTTCCACAAGATCAGTCTATGAGATTAATTGATTTTTATATGTACTTTCAAGAGGCTAACGAGGCTGATTCTGCTGATTCGTGCTCTACTTCACAACTCCAAGAGCAGTTTGCTAATGTGTTAAATGAGATTACTGATCTCAGAACTGAGATGCAAAAGAAAGAGACTGTCTTGAGAAATGAGTGTAGTGGGAGCCATCGTAATTTTAGTTATTGGGATGATTACCAAAGGTGGTGATACAACCACCACCATATCAGAAACCACCTACCTATGTTCCACCTCTGCCATTCCCACTCAGGGGAGTGACAAAACACATTTCCTCAAGTGGTGTCAAAAAATCTGCCCAACAGAAAGTTGTGCAACAAGATTTTAGTAACCTACTTGATGAAGAGTTGTGTTTAGAGGGGCTGTTTGCTGTAGATGAGCCGTGCTTAATGTTTCATGAGACTCTTTCTCCAGAGAAAGATAATTGACTTGGGGGATACAATTATGTTTATCCATGAAAAAGAGGCAATTATCTCCCTTAATGAGAGTTAGGTGGACAGAGGTGAGGGTGAATTCATTTGGGGTTTGCAAATAGAGTATGTTGATTTCGATCAATTTCATGCTAAGAAGGTCCCCAAGATATTGGTAAAGTGGAGCAAGATGAATTTTCTTCCATGTGGGATGATTTCTAATGGTGAAATGCATGCTTCCTGGAGGCATGATCGAGCAGTTGATGACACATTTTTATGGTATTGAGATGGCTATTCTGAGTTACTTGATACCATAAGAAGTGATTATTGAATGCATCTTGCATTCTACCTTTTGCTTGCTTCATGGGAGGCAACCCATGTTCTTTCCTTTCTATTTTGTTTTCATTAGTTAGTTGTAATTTTATGTTTGTGTTTTAATGTGTGTTTCCATGTACAGAGAAAGTATCAATAGCATCCCGATTCAATGTCTGATCCAAAAATGCAGCAGATTCTGATATCATTCACTCTGGAGAGTGAGATTAGTCACTCTCCCAAGTGTGCTTACTACTAGCTGAGTTGTTGTGACTGGTTTGCTTGTCATTTCTTCTAGTCTGCATAGGATTTGTGCTTTATTTTAATTTTGGGAGAATTGATGTCTACTCTGTTGATGCATGATTATTGTTAGTTTATTTTGTTTCTAAAATAAATTTGGGAATTCTGAAAACTAAACATGTTGACTTTAAAATTTTGTGTGTGTAATGTTGAAAGTTCTGAGACACTTGGGAAGTGACTTTTGTCACTCGACAAAGTGATTCTGAACCTACTTGATGTTTGAAGTCAATCTGTTTCTTTTAAAGACCCACCCATATATTTTCCCTTCATGTTTTCTTGCTTCTAGATTCTTAAAGACATCTTTTGTATGTCATATCCCTTAATAGCTTGTTGATTCTGAAATTTTGTGTGCTTAATGTGTACTTGCTAACACTTTAGTCTGGGATAAAATTGTGATTATCTTTATGAACATTGATGCCATATCTAGCAAATTTTGTGATAAATTTCAGAATTAGCATGTCCAATTGCATATGAGTGACCTAGTTTTGTTTTGAGTTATGATCTTAAAGGCTGAATTTGTTCTTAGAACAATGGTACTTCTAGTTTGTTGCTCTCTTTGGTCTCTGTGCTTAACTGTGTGAACCAAGGAACTTTATGAGCTTAATTTCTGATATCATTAGTCTATGTTTCAAAGCTAACCCTTGGTATTCGAGGAAGACCTTTTGTTGTGTGACCTTATTGGTTTCTAGTTACAACTTTGACTTGACAATACAAGAACGTGGCAAAATTTTTGTGTGGAGTATTCACTGAAGCTAGCTGGAATGAAATTCTTCAACCACAACTTAGAGTTTACAGCAACTCAAACTCATATGCTTCAATCTCAACAGCAAGAAATCCACCTCACCCATTTGAAGGGATGAACCCCTGCCCAGGGAAGTACTCTGTTTCTCTTTCTTTTATTTGTTTTCTTTTTCTATAGTTGAGTCTTCTGCTTTGTCTGTTTGTGAGTCAGTATTGTAATCTGTAGAGTTTTAGATTCATTTCTTTGTTTTAATTTATCTATTTTTCAAATCACTTGCATGATTATTCCATATGTGTATGTGTTTCAAGCCTCCCCTGTTTTTGTGACGCATTGGGAACAATGCTAACATTAAGTTTGGGGGAGCTAGTGTCTGTTTCTTTGTGTGTTTTTGTTGTGTTGCAAGCTTCTCCCATTGTTTGTATGTTCGAATTCTACTCATTGTAAGCTTCTCCCATTGTTTGTATGTTCGAATTCTACTCATTGCAAGCTTGGGGGAGCTTGTGTCTGTGTGTCTATCCTGTAAGAGTCATGAAAGGTTTGTTCCTATCTTATAAAAAAAAAAAAGCTTTTTATGAGTCCTTTATTGGCTTTGGTTTTGTTTGCAGAATATTTCAAAACTAGTTGAATATCAGAGTCTGGAATTGTCAATGGTCTAGAATGAATCAGAATGTGCAGAAATTTTATAACTACCCATGTGTTTTACCTTAAGAAAGAGTATGCAGTTCATTGCCACTTGCCTGAGCACACCATATCACTTGACAAAGTTATGCTTTGGGCTTAAATTCTAAAATCTTGAATACTTAATACATTGTTGTGATCTTGTACTGGAGTCCACTTGTCTGAGACCTGGGGGGACTGTAATTCTGAGTGAAGATTAAGGCAGCCCTTTGCATTATGGAAGACTGTGTAAGAGCCCATGGTAGTATGTAAAATCATAAATACCTTGGGAAGGGGAATGGTAGGCGGTTTAAATGAGCTGAAAAGAAAAATTATGAAATGAGGGAAGTTAGGGAGACTGTCCAATGAGGCAGTAATACCCCTGAGTGTTTAGGTTTGGCAAACCAGTAGAGAGAGTCCTAAGGCCTAGTGAGGAAATATGAGAAAAATAAATAAAACTACCTTAAGTTGCTAAGCCACTGTGAGAATTCACTATAGATAATGAGTGAAAATATGCTCTGGGTGAAATGCCCTAAGTTGCTGAGCCATTGTGGAAATATGCTCTGGGTGAAATGCCCTAAGTTGCTGAGCCACTATGAATAAATACTGAGTGGAAATATACTCTGGGTAGGGGTCGAGTGGGAAAGATCCAGAAGAAAAGCCATATGGACAAGGAGAAAAAAGGTTGAGGGAGAAATAAGATGCAGCTAATGTTGCTGCAGAATCTATGAGGAAGTCCTCAGAATCTAAAAATCTCAGTGAGAATACCCTAGTTGATGGCATGCAAGAAATAGGTACTGATCACAACAAATGTCCATTTGAACTTAAATGAATCTAATCTTAGAATGGATTGTAGGATAAGCTGCATTTCTGTTTGTAATTGGTACATTCACACACTGGTTTGCACTGTTTTATTCTGTCTGAATGGTGATGATCTGTGGTGTAAATGTAGAAGATCTGACTCTGAGATAATTATTTGACACTTCCAACTCTAATTTCTTCTTTGTTTTGTCATTGTTCTGCCCAAAATAAAACCTAAGTCACTCTGGGAAGTCAGTTTTTCACTCACCCAAGTGAAGTACGTTTTTCTTTGTTGAATTTCTATTTAGTTTTATAGCACTGGGAATAATGCTATATTTAAGTTTGGGGGGAGTGGTAGTGCTAGGTCAATGTTCATGTATTTAGAGTCTTTTAAGCAGTCAATTAGGTTGTTTTTACCCAAAAAAAAAAGTGCTGACTGTCCATATTTTGGGCAGAACAATGACACTTCTTTCCATTCTATTCACTATATGTCCTTGTCTATTACTTGCCCATATTTTCCCTTTTGTCTGTCACTTGTGTCTTTTTGAGTCTGTGTCCTTCTGTGCGACTAGGCCAGTAAAAATGTAGCATGAATTTGTTTGCAAGAGGATCGGTAAAACTCTGAGTTTGAGGCTGTTGCTTGAGGACAAGAAACACTTCAAGTTTGGGGGTATCTGATGACACAAAAATATACACCCTTTTTGCAGGCATTTCTTACTCATTTTTACTCATAATTTAGTGTCAAGTAGCTAGAATTAGTTTACTTTTGGGATGATTTTACAGTTCAGATATCTCATAGGGCCAATGTTGAATATCAACATAAATTGGGGCCAAAATGTGCAAAAGAGCTTCAAGAAGGACCATTCTGGAGATGCTAGAAATGAAGGTTGGAAAGGAACAATTGTGGAAGAGAAGAAGCTGAAACCATGCTGCTGAAAGAAGGTTGCTGATCCACATCACAAGTTGCTGTGCTCAAATAATAAATGAAATATAATATATGGGCT